TTTTTTTTAAAAAAAAAAGAAAGTGAGCTAGGGAGGGGGAAGGGAAAGGAGGGAAAATGTAACAATGAATGAATGAATGAAAATCATTCTGTATACTTTCTTAAAAATCATAATAAAGTGTACTAAGAAAAACAACAAACCCCCCCCCCCATGTGATACAATATAACTTGGGGGAGTCTAAAGAGCATTATGCTGAGTGAACTATCTCAGTATCATAAGGACAAATACTTCATAAGACAGTTACTATAAAAACAAAAGGGTAACTAGTTTAGATATAACTAGTTTAGTTCTGTAAAAACAGAAGGATAAGATGTTTAGAAATGATGCACACTCATGTCTGTTGTGGCTCTGTTCACAATAGCAAGGAGTTGTAAACAATCTAAGTGCCCATCAACAAACGAATGGATAGAGAAGCTGTGGTCTATTCACACAATAGAATACTACGCTGCATTGAAAACAAGGAACTCATGCAATATTGTTCAAAATGGGTGACTCTGGAGGACATTATGCTGAGTGAAGTATCTCAGTCACAAAAGGACAAATACTGTATGGTACCACTGTTGTAAAACAGGACTGACTTTGGGGTTGGGGAGAGACTGAGAAAGATGGGTTCAATAATGTATACTGCTTTGAAACAGTTGAGGGAGAAAACTGTTTAAAAGGGATATGTGATTAGGTATTTTTGTCATGACAGGAGTCTAGAGCAAAGGCTACAGGGTGAGTGGACCTGGGGGAGGCTTTGTAAAACAATGAAAGAATTCTTCCTTTTCCAAAAGGATAGTGTACTAGGGGGGAGGGTTGGGAGGGGAGAAAAGTGCAAGAATGAATGAGTGGAAATCCAAAGTCTCTGTAAATTTTTACTGAAATTAATAATAATAAATTTAAAAAAATTAATTACAAAAAAAAAGATGTTTAGAAATGGCTAGAAGGGGAAAGGGAAAGGATGAAGGGTTGTTGGATAAAGGAGAAGGGAGGAAGTCACTAGGAAAGCAGCGTTTCGTGGGTGGATAGAAGGGAGCCTGAAGGAATAGGAAGATTAAATAAAAAGACTTGAAAAGATTAAGTAATAATATGCATAGATCAGCTGTTAGGGACCTCTCCAAAGTACTGAAGAGCAATGGTGTCTCCCTCTTTAGTCTAAGGTGCGTTTGACACAGGCCATGGTCTTCGCAATCACTTGTTATGCATCAGAGAGTTGGACAATGACCAAGGAGGATAGAAGGAGAATTGATGCCTTTGAGCTGTGGTGCTGGAGAAGAGTATTGAGAATACCATGGACTGCTAGGAAAACAAACAGATTCGTCCTGGAAAGGGTTAAACCGGGTGGCTCCTTGGAGGCAAGGATTCTGAGGCTCCGTCTAACATACTTTGGACATGTTGTGAGGAGAGACAGGTCCTTGGAGAAGGACATCATGCTTGGGAGGGTGGAGGGACGGCGCAGGAGGGGAAAGCCCTCTATGAGGTGGATTGATTCAGTGACTGGGATAATCAGGATGGGAGTGTCGGAGACAGTGCGATTGGCACAAGACAGAGCAGAGTTTAGGGCTGTTGTACACAGGGTCGCTATGAGTTGCAAGCGACTCGATGGCACATAACAACAACAACAACAACAATGAATTCTATAAAATGCAATGTATATGAATGTATGAAAATCAATGCAAGACTGTATAAAACACAATGTAGCTGGATGAAATAAAGTACATGAATTATTGTATGCAATCCAATGAATTTTTTTTAAAAAGAATGATTTGTGATAATCAAAATGTGCACACTCTAATGCCAAGATTAACTAGTAAAAACAAAGCAAACACTGTGACCCAAGCAGATATATGCACAGTGATGTTCATTGCGACTTTGTTCGCAATAGCAAAGAGCTGGAAACAACCCAAGGGCCCATCAACAAATGAATGGATAGGGAAGCTGTGGTATATTCACATAATGGAATACTATGCTGCATTGAAAAACAAAGAACTCATGAAATATTATGCAAAATGGATGACCTTGGAGGGCATTATGCTGAGTGAAATATCTCAGTCACAAAAGGACAAATAATGCATAGTGCCATTGTTGTAAAAGGGGATTGACATCAGGGTTGAGGGAAGACAGAAAATGAGGGGAGGAATGATGTATACTGCATTAAAACAGATGAGGGAGAGAACTGTTTAAAAGGGATATATGAATGGGTATTCTTGCCATTACAGAAGTCCAGAGTAAAGGCTGCATAGTGGAGTGGACTTGGAGGTGAGGGATTACACAACAATGAGTTTTTCTTTCTTTTCAGGGAGAAGAGTGAATTGGGGGTGGAGTACAAGGAGAAGGGAGAAAAGTGCAGCAATGAATGAATGGAAACCCTAAGTCTGTAAACTTTCATTAAAATTATTTTTTTAGAAAAACAAACCAAACAAAAAGAACAACTATTAAAAAACCAAACAAACAAGGAGATATAATGGACTACAAAAATGAACCAATATAAGATAGTAAATGAACAAAAGCAGATTGGATAAATAAGAAACAAAATCTATCCAAATTAGCAATTCCAAATTAATTCTCTTAAGTCAACTAGTTTGACTTAAAAACTCCAATTAAAAGGTAGAGAATGACACACACACAAAAAAGGCAAGACCCAGCCGTAAATAGGAAGCTCTGGTGGCAAAGTTCATAGTGTTGTGCTGTTAATCCAAAGGCAGTATCTCTATGGGAGAAAGTGGGCAATCCCCTCCCATAGAGTTTACAGCCTCAGAAAATCCGCTGATGGATTAGCTATGAGTTGGTTCCAACTCAATGGAGATGAGTGAGTTGAGAATCATAACATATACATTTTTAATATATATATAAAGACACAGATAAGCTCAAACAAAAATGATGAGGTAAAGCATATTATACAAATACTAAAATAACTGGTATACTGAGTACTTTTCTCTATGTTTGTTAGCTATTTATTTTCTTTTGTGAAGTGTCTGTTCAATCTATTGTGTATTTCTAACTTGTTTGTCTTTTTATTATTGTTGGTTGTATGGGTTCTTTATATATCTTAGGTAATAATATATTGTAAGAATCATTTACAGCTACCCAATTATTTTATCATCAAGAAAGAATCTAATGACATCATCATTTAAAGAAGACTGAAGTAACATACAAACAAGAATGTCATGATTTCTCAAGGTCTCAAAATTTATTTTTTGAACAATATGACCTCTTAATGGTTCCCATTGTCTTCTCAAACCATCATAGTGCTTCAAAAAAAAAGCTGTGTAAATTTTTACATGATCTTAGAGGGGATAAGGTAAGAGATTGTGCTTAATTACACCCAAATTGAACCTTATCAAATTCCTTTTTTGTACATGAAAACTGAATATTTCACTGATTAAATGATACAAGGACTTTTGTAGAAATGATGGATAAAGCTTCAATGTCAGTGTGATGAGAACCTAAAAATTACAACTGAGTCTCCAGTTCTGGATCAAGTTTGTATTAAAACACTTTTGAGAAAGGGCATGTATTTTATACTGTTATCAGTCCTATCACATTTATTGAAATGAACAGTTTTATTTCATTGTTTAATTAAAGAAAAGAACTTCATTCATAACTATATAGTTATTTAAAGTCAATGAAAGTGTTTTCATAATAATATCTTTCCATAGATAATAGCTTGTGAGTTTGGCCTGGGCTGGTGGCGTTTTTATGTGTCTCTTGTACAGGCAAAGCTTTTCTTTAATTAACTTTCACAATTATAGACATCCAGAGAGGTGGTGAGGACAGCATAGGATCGGACAGGCTTTAGATCTGTTGTTCATAGGGTAGCTAGGAGTTGCACTAGACTCTATGGCATGTAACAAGGATCATACATATGGTTAACTGCTTAATTAATGTCTTAAATTATACATTCTTTAAAAAATTATACATTCTTTCTTTCTTGTATAAAGGTAGTTTACTCTATATTCATTGCATTTATTTAATTTACTTTCATCTGCTTCTGTTTTCCTGTCAGGAAAGGATGGCACACAAAAGAATAATAATTCTATTATTACTGCTTTTATTTTCTATGTGGGCTACACATAGAAAATACCACTTCAGGTAACTATATAAACTTATTGACTATTTTATATTGGTATTTTACTTTTAATTGATATTTTAATTTTAATTAAATTAAGTTAAATTTTAATCAATATTTTAATGTTAATTTTTGTATTTGATATGTCAAAAAGGTTATAGACAAGCTTCATGGATAAATCAGAAATGCCTTTTGTCAAATACAATCAACAACACCCAAATCCTTTTTCCTAATGGGATCATAGCTAAAATAGATTAATTTTAAGATCCTACGTGTGAAGAAGCAATGTTAAATTCACAAAACAATATTACTTATTAAATGTTATAGAAAAACTGACGTTTTTAAATAATTGGTATCTTATTTAAGACTTTTATAAAATATATTTGCATGAGAATGATTGTGTGAAACACAATGGAAACGAAGAATAGTGTGAAACGCAATGAATATGAACTTTGTAAGCAAACCAATAGTGAGAGAGAGAGAGAAGAAAAAGTAGAAAGAGTGTTCTGCTTTCATGCCAATGCAAAGGTAGATGGTTTGAATTCACTAGTTGCTCCGGAGGAGAAAAACGGGCAACCTCCTTTTGTACAAATTAGTCTCTGAAAATCTGCTGGAAAGTCAACTATGAATTACTCTGATTCTGTTGTTTTGATGGTATGACTGCATCTCTAGTATTTTTGTTCCAATGAATTAGAGAAATGCAAGTATGGTTGCTGTTTAGATAGCACAGATGAGGTCCTTGGCAGCAACGAATGTATTACATTCATTTCTATATCTTTATTACCAACATGGTATCTGGTATCTAGTTTGTATTTAGTACATATCTGGCAAATGAAATAAGTGCTTTGATTGATCCCAACTCTACCTGTCTTACATGTGGTATGCTTTGTATGATTAAAAAGTAAGATAATGCTTTCCCTTTGTACAAAGCATGAAGAAGCTATAGAGGATGTCTCGGTTCTGGTGAGTCTTTATTTACAAATATGCTATGACCCATTCTTGGAGGACAAAACTGATTGGAGGGTAATAGAATACTTTTGGGCCTTTATTCCTGCAGTCAGAATAAACCAAAACCATTTTACAAGAATATATTGGAGATATTTGCTTAATGTAAGAAGTCAAAAGAAAACAAACTGGAAGAGTGCTATTCCTAATGGAAATAGAGGGGCTGTTATTGTTGTTAAGTGCAATCAAGTCAACTACGACTCATAGGAACAATGGATCTGAACTCTGCTCTATTCCATGCCATCTTCATCATCTTGGACACACTCAAGCCCACCATTACAGTTACTGTGCTATCCATCTCACTGATTGTCCTCCCCTCCTTCATTGGCCCTCAATCTTTCTTTTTTTACTGAATGATATTTTAATGCAACATATATATTTTTTACAGCATATTCTTTCCATTCATTTTTTTCTCCCATTCATTCATAGTTGCCCATTTTCCTCCCTGCCCACCCCTCCCCCCAGTTCATTTTTCTCTTTGAAGGAAAAAAAATTTCATTGTTATACAATCTCCCCTCCCCAGTCCACAATCTACTTTAATATGCATTTCTTTTTACGTCATTTTGTCATGAAAATAATACCTAATCCTATATTCTTTTTAAATAGTTCTCTCCCTCATCTGTTTCAATACAGTATACATTATTTATCTCCTTTTCTTAGGTTCCCCCCAACCCCTATGTCAGTCCCATTTTACAACAGTGGCACTATGCAGTATTTGTCCTTCTGTGACTGAGATATTTCACTCAGCAAAATGTCCCCCAGGGTCACCCATTTTGTATAATAGTTCATGAGTTCTTTGTTTTTCAGTGTAGCATAGTATTCCATTGTGTGAATATGCCACAGCTTCTCTAGCCATTCATTTGTTGATGGGCACTTTAATTGTTTCCAACTCTTTGCTATTGTGAATAAAGCTGCAATAAACATGGATGTGCATATACTGCTTGGGTGGCAGTTCTGGTTTCTGTAGGGTATATTCCCAGTAGTGGAATTGCTGGGTCAAATGGTATTTCTATTTCCAAATTTTTGAGAAAGTGCCATACTGCCTTCTATAGTGGTTGCACCATTTTACACTCCCATCAACAGTGAATAAGGGTTCCAGTTTCTCTACAACTTCTCCAGCATTTGCTTTTTGCTGCTCTGTTGAGTTTTGCTGTTTTTACTGGGATGATATCTCTTAGTTATTTTGAGACCCTCAATCTTTCAAAGCATGATGTCCTTTTTCCAAGGACTGGTATCTCCTAATAACATGCCCAAAGTATGTGAGACAAAGTTTCACTATCCTTGTATCCAAGCATCATCCTTTCTGCACCTTTTCCAAGACATACTTGTTTGTTCTTTTGGCAGTCCATTGGATATTCAACACTTTTCTCCAATACCACAACTAAGAGGCATTAATTCTTTATCTGTCATCCTTATTTATGGTCCAACTGTCAGATGTAATTGAAGAGATCATGGTTTGGATCAGGTGTACCTTAGTCTTCAAACTGATATCTTTGCTCTTCAGCACTTTGTAAAGGTCTCTGACAATAGACTGCCCCAATGCAATAGGTCTTTTCATTTCTTGACTACAGGTGCCAAGGGTGTAGATTGTGGATCCAAGTAAGATGAAGTGATTAACAATTTATATCTCTTCTCCATCTATCACGACATTACCTATTGGTCTGGTGGTGAAGATTTTTTGTTTCCTTTTTAATAATTTTTTACTGGGATTTTTAACCAAAGGTTACCGAAAACTTGGATTTCCATTCATTGATTGTTGCACATTTTCTTCCCTATCCCCACCCCCCACACACACACCCCGTTTGCTTTTATCTTTAAAAAATTCATTCATTAAAGCAAGTTGTGTCTGCAGATGGCCAGGGTGCCTTCTTCAACCAGGAGCAGCAGACAGACAGGGAGTACAACCAGGGCCTGAGTCATCCTTGCTGGGAGAAGTCCATGGGCTTAGCAGGCTCCACTGAAATCTGCTTTCTTGCTTGTTTTCTTATGGTTTGATATTAGGAATATAGCATTTATATGCCAGTTTTCTGTATTGGGAGAAGTGGTGGGAGGATTGAAGGGAATCATTTGCAAAGTGCTGTTTACTTTATAATTTGTGCATGTATATATATGCTTGCTTATTCAGTAGTTATAGTTAGTCCTTATAAGTACAAAGCTAGTTTGTCCTAATAAGTATAGTACTTGTCTGTCAGTTTACTGTATAGAGGTAACTTGCTGGCTTCTGTAATGCTGGAAGCTGTGCCACTAGTATTTTAATACCAGTGAGTCATCCATGGTGGACAGGTTTCATCAGAGCTTCCAGATTAAGACAAACACAGGGGTTAGTGACAGGAAATATATTACAGAACCAGAAAAAGCCCTTAGCTTTAGGTCTTTTTAAGCTTTTGACACAAGAGTAAAGACTTCACATAAAGACTTTCAAGAGGTCTTATTGACTACATGACAAACACAAAGTCATGCCATCAGAGTGTCTTCAGTGAGGAAAACTTTCACAAAGATGCACAACATCCAACACTATATTCTTCAACTTCTTATCAATGATAATAATATAGTAAAGTAAGAAGTGGTTTTCTTTTCTGATGTTTATTGTATTCATGAGCTTTGTTTCTCTCACAGTTCTATTATTTACAACACTTACATTAAGATCATGTTATCTATAGGTGGGAAAAGAACACAATGTATTAACAAGATTTTCAATATTGCCCTTAATGTCTCTTCAAGCCTGGAACTGAACTCACCACTATGACAAGCATCAAAACAATGTGGCACCTAAAGAATATATAGATATCTAAAATGGACAGTAACACCAGGGAGGTGTTCCACCCTTAGAACAATCAACTACACAAAATCACAAGGGCAACATTGGTCTAAGAATAAAACTCATACAGTAGAAAGGGAAAAGTTGGAGAGATGAATGGGGAAAAGAACCATATAGAGATAATGGAAAGAGTGATTATACAATGTAGGGATATAATCTGTGTCATAAAACAGAACATTTATGAATGGTTGAGTCCAACATCAATCTACTCTGTAACCTTGCACTCATTTCATAAGAAAAAAATGTAAAAGATTAGATTTTCATATTCCAGGCACAGAACGTGTCTCTACTGGGTATTGTTGTTTGAGTTGTTGTTAGGTAGCATCAAGACATCTAAGACTCATAACAACCCTATGAACAAGACATCTGAAACTTGATCTATCTTGTGTTATCCCAGCAATCTCCAAAATATTTAAGCCCATTGAATCACTGTGTAAATCCAACTCTTTTGTATTGTTGCTGCATATCATCAGGTTGGAACTGACTCATAGGTGGCCTTGCAGCAGGTTTTCAGAGGCAGTTAATTGCATGGGAGTGGACTGCCTATCCTATTCCCATGGAACAGTTGGTAGACTCAAACTGTGTGCCTTTAGGATTGCAGCACAGCTTCTTACCACTAGTCCACCAGAGCTTCCAAATCCCTTTGTATAGTCATGACTAATACTAAAGGCAGTAACTTCAACTACCTGAAAGCAATCAGTTAAAGGTAGCAGAATTCAAGGAAAGTCTGCTGCAACTCACACCAAGAGAGGAAAGAATGCTTTAAGGCAAAATATATTTACTGTTATATACTATAATAACAGTCCTATTATTAATATTAGTTCTTAGCATTAAGATTCTGTAACCTTAATGTATTAATACTCATTAATCAAAGTGTCAATAAAGATGCATCCCTGACACTGATGTTACTTTCATCTGTGTACATGGGAACACAAGCAACCTCATGACACATGCTGTTGTTAGATGCTGTCCAGTCAAATATGAGACATATTGACTCCATGAACAACAGATCTGAACCTTGTCCTGTCCAGTGCCATCTTTACAATCTCTGTCATACTTAAGCGCATTTCTGTAATCACTGCATCAATCCACTTAGTCAAGAGTCTTCCTCTTGTGACATATATGAGACATACTCAATTCCACAGACATTCAAATCTTTCACAAACTCATTTTAGGATCAGCTTTCCCTAAAGCCTACTAGTTCTATAACCAGGGTGCCTGTAATGTATAGTGAGGAAAAATAGTAAAGAATTAAGCAAAACTGTTTGCCTTGCTACCCTTGAAACCTCTCTGTGCCTCAGTTTCCTTGTCTGCTAAAGTGGGGATAATGATGATGATGATGATGATGATGATAATAATAATAATAATAATAATTATTATTATTATTATTTTATACCTTATTATACCATTATTTGATAGACATTGAAGAAAGTGCAACCAGAATTCTCCTCAGAGCAAGGATGATGAAATTTCATCTCATTTATTTTTAAGAGGAACAAGTCCTTAGAGAAAGACAACATGCTGGGAAAGGTAGGGGATCAGAAAAACAAAGGAAGACTCTCAATAAGAATAATTTGACACAGTAACTTCCACAATAGGCGTGAGCATGACAGAAACCATGAGGATGGTATAGAATAGGGCAAGGTTTAGATCTGTTATTCATAGAGTAGCTGAGAGTTGTAGTCAACTTGATGGCACTTAACAACAACAATCATCTAAAATTCTAGCAGGTACAGTTTGACTCTTCCCATTATTTCCCCTTATAGGTCTCTGAAGAATCAATCAGAAGAACTGAAACTATCAGACTGGTTTTATCCCACGTAAGAATCCAAGTCTCACATCATATAAGACTCATCTGTAGATTGGCTCCAAGAAGTTTTTCAGCCATCAACCATACTACTATTGATATACCATATGATGCTAAATACATTTTTTTTGCAATATTTATTTCAAGACTCCATTGGGAAAGGACATTTGGACCCACATGTACTATGAGTGTTTACATAGCATAACCTCAAGGGTCCCAGAATGATGAGAGGTCAAAAGCATAAGGATGTATTTGAGATCATTTAGTTGATTTTCCTCGTCTTCAATGAGCAAACCAAAGCCCAAATAAGACAGGTAGATTATCTGTGTAGTTTATGCTTTAGTACTACAGTCTTCCTGTGGCTTCTCTATTGGATCATGCCTTCAGTACTCAGCAAGGAAGTTTGTAACTCAACTATAACCTTCATTTCCTACTTGTGTGGATCCTGAAGGTCAATCAAATGGAAGAGTATACATCCTCCAGGTCTTCTGTGAGCATAATCTACTCCTGTGCATGCTTGTGGCTTTCCAGGAATATGTGGGAGAATTTTCAAAGACATTGCTTCCCCCCACACACACACACCCTTTCTTTAAAGCTTTGGGTTTGTCTATTGTTCACATCAATTTTTATCCCTTAACCCAGACATTCAGCAGCTAATACGTTTGGTGTCAGCTACTTTTAAATAAATATCTGACACAATGCTGCTTTGACACTGGGAGAGATCTGAGTTAGGTGAAATAAAAGTAGGCACTTTGAGCTAGTTCTTCAAGGAGCCCTCAGACAGGGCAAAACAAACAATGAGAATTCTTTGAAAGTAAGATCTGTTCTACTCCTTCTAGTATTAAGAACCTAAACTAAGGATGTATTCTTTTCAAAGATGCTGCTGACATGGGAAGTAAAAAACGGGGTCAGAATAAAAACACCATCAGGTTATTTTTACCAAGATTCAGTTAGCTTTTCATTAAGCATTTTCCTTGTTGTTTGGTTTCCAAACCTCTAACTAGACTCACAAAGGGAAAAAAAATATGAGATGAAAACAAGGGAAACCAGAAGTTCAAGTAAGGACATTTCAACTGACCTACAGATATAAAAGGACCACAAGAAAGTACTATTAATAATTATATACCAATAAGCTAGATAGCCTTGATTAAATGGACAAACTCCTGGGACACACAAACTTCATAAAATGATACGAATTAGAAATAGAGAAAAAAAAATCTCAAAACACTTCTAAAAATGAAGAAATTTAATTTGTAATGAAAAACCTCCTAACCAAAAAAAAAGTCTGGACAATATAGGTTCACTAGGGAATTCTAGCAATTTAGCAATTATTTATGGAAGTGGCCCCATATTTCTAAATCTCTTCCAAAAATAGAAGAAGGAACAATTTCTTCTTCTTTTCTTTCTTTCTTTTTTTTTTTAATTAGGCCATAGGACTAGCAACTCAAGAACTTTGGAACAGTACTTAGTTCATTTAATGAAGTAGTATTATTTTGATACCAAAGACAAAAAAGACTATATGTAAACTATAGACCAGAACCCTTATTGATAGGCAAAAGTCCTCACCAAAAAGCTAGCAAACCAAATAAAAAAAATTATAAAAATAGTAAAGGACTATATAAATGATCAAGCGAAATTTAGCGTAGGAACACAAAGATGGTTCAACATTTAAAAGTCAATTGAGGCAATACATCATATTAACAGAATAGATGAAAGGAGGAAAAAAACTCTCACATGATAATCTCAGTCAATGTAGAAACAGCCTTCAACAAAACCCCAGACTGAAATTAAATATCTTTTCGTATCTACTAAGATGACTATTTTTTTTTAACGAAGAAGCAATAGTTTTTTATGAGAGTCTGGAGAAAATGGAACTTTCATCCATTTCTTAAGGACTTGTAAAATGGTACTGTCATTGTGGGAAAGTTAGGCTGTTGCTGTTTTTATATGCTCTCAAGTCAGAAACAACTTAAGTTGGCCTTCAAGTGGGTTTTCAAAGCCTGTATATCACACAGAAAGAAACTGCTCATCTTTCTCTGTCATTATTCTGAGCAGCTGATGGATTTAAACCATGTACTTTGGGTTGGCAGTGTAATACCTTACCTAGTAGGCCACCAGAACTTCCTAACTATTAGATAGTACCTCAAATAGTAAAACATAGACTTGTCACATGGTCCAATAATTCAACTCCTAGATATATGCCCAAGAACTCAAAGCAGGGATTCAAATTGATAATTTTATACCAATATTCATTGCAGTATTGACCACAATAGCTAAAAGGTAGAAACATCTCAAGTGTCCATCAACATATGAATGAATAAATAAGATGGAGTACATATGTATTGTTTTAGGACTGAGTTTTCAAGAGAAGCAAAGTCAGTAGATATACATATATGTATGTGTTGTGTGTGTATAAAGAAAGAGATAGAGGCAGACACAGAGACATAGGAAAAGCTGGAGAGGGAAAATCCTTGTCTTTGGTTTGAAAGCGCAGCTCCTTAGCCTCTAGGCCACCATAGTGAGATACACACACACACACACACACACACACACACACACACACACACACATCCCCACTCGTGTGTGTGTGTGTGTGTGTGTGTGTGTGTGTGTGTGTAAAATTAGCAGACTCCCAGCATAGGTCAGGGCTGTGACTAGATTAATGGTGTTGCAACCAACCCTCGTCCTTTTATATTGGATCAAGGTTTATCCCATCAGACCACATTGTAGGTAATGATTTTGTTATTATATACCTTCTAAACTTGAGAATCTTGGCCAAGTTGACATACAAGCAGTCTGAAATTGATTGAATATACAACCAATATACATTAATAAAAATCGATGACTGGAATGCAAAAGTTGGAAACCAAAAGAAGAAACAGTAATGGGACTTGGTAACCGAAATGAGGCTGGAGATAGAATGGTAGAATTTTGTGCAATGAACTATTTATTCATTGCAAATACTTTAAAAGAAACATAAATGGTCACTATACATATGAACCTAACCTCATGTTGACTATATCTGTGGAAAGAGGCTTTGAAGAAACTCAGTATCAGCAGTCAAAAAAAGGGTAGGTTCAACTGTGGAAAGAGCATCAATTATTCATGTGCAAGTTTGAATAGAAGGTGAAGAAAAGCTCATGAGAATCCAAAAATGACCTTTAGTCTACCCCACCTGAATTTAAAAACCATCTTATTAATAGATTTGATGTACTTGATACTAATAATCAAAGACCAGATGAGTTTTTAAATAGCATCGAGGACATCATTCATGAAGAAAGCAAAAGGATAGAATAACTAAAAGGGAGAAAGAAAAGACCAAAGTGAATGTCAGAGGAGACTGAAAATCCCACTAAAAAATAGAGAGTACAAAACAAAAGGAAGAAAACGTAAGTAAAAGAGATCCACAGAAGCTCTCAAAGGGCAGTTTGAGAAGACAAAACAAAGTATTTTAACAACATATGCAAAGAGCTAGAGCTAGAAAATCAAAAGGGAAGAACACTTTCAGTATTTCTCAAGCTGAAAGAACTGAAAAACAAATTCAAGTCTTGAGTCTCAGTACTATAAAATATTTAACCTTGCAGGAAGCACTGTCTAGACTAAATGGCCATGGGCAAGCTGCCCATCAACCACATCTACCAGCTGCAAGACATCTTCAATCTGCTGCCAGGCATCAGCCTATAGGAGTTTGTCCAGGTCTTTTATCTGAAGACCAATAAACAGATAGTGGTGGTTTAGTTGATCTCACTGATTCATTCTGCGGTTGCCCTGTACAACCTCATCAACAAGATTGCCAAACAGGATGCAGAGAAAAAAGAAGGGCAGGGGAAAGAGTGAAAAGACAAAAAATATGATAAAGAGGATAAGGGAAAGATAAGGGACAATAAGGGAAAGAGTGATACCAAGAAAGAAGAGAAAAAGGAGAAAAATAGTGAAAAAGTGTAGGTTTTTAAATTTATAAATTAAAATCTTATAAAAAAAAGATGAAAGCAATATACATTGTACCAAAAAGAACTGGTTGACACTGCATAACTTCAGGAAGTAGCAACTGATCAAGAACTAATGACAGTAAAGGAAGAAGTCCAAGGCATTGGCAAAAACAAAAACAAAGCCCTCAAAATTGATGGAATATCAACTGACATGTTTCAACAAACAGATGTAGCTCTGGACATGCTTTCTAGTCTATGCGAAGAAATTTGGAAGACAGCTATCTAGTCAACTGATTGGAAAATATCCATGTTTGTTCTCATTTGAAAAAAGGGTTTATCTAACTGAATGTAGATATTATCGGATAATATAATTAATCACATGCAAATAGAACCTTGAAGATTAGTTTTAAAATTACCAGAATAGTACAGTGGTATGGAACTTCTAGAAATTCAAGCTGGTTTCAGAAGAGATAATTTAAAGAGGGTTGTTGTTGCAGACTTCAGATGGAAGCACAGAATACCAGAAAGATGTTTATTTGTGTTTTATTGACTATGCAAAAATCATTGACTGTGTGGATCATAACAATATTGAGAAGATTATGAATCCCAGAACACTTTGGCTCATGCCAAATCTATACATACACCAAGAAGTTGTCCAACCAGAATAAGGAAACATTGCAATGTTTACAATTAAAAAAAGGATGCGTCAGGTGTAAATCTTTTCTCCCAATCTATTCAAACTGTATGTTAAGTAAATAATTTCAGAAGCTGAACTATATCAATGGGAAGGTGGCTACAGAACTGGAGGAAGACTCAACAACTTGTATCATGCAGATGACACAACCTTGCTTGTAAAAAGAGGAGAGGATTTGAAACGCAAGCTGCAAAAGATCAAAGTCTACAGACTTCGATATGGATTGCATCTCAATATCAAGAAAGCATAATTTCTCACCACTGGACCAATAGGCAAATATAAAGACAGATGGAAAAGAGAGTAAGATTAAACAGCAGTAAATGGTAGGTATTTTTATATTAAACAGGTTCACACGACATTTGTGTCATCGCACAAAATCATATGGGGACTCTGGGTTTTTATTTCTCTTGCCTTTAATCTGATTTACCTGAACTACATTACTTTTCCCCCCCCCACCAAATCCATTTTATCTCCTAAAACTCATGTCTAAAAGGCTTCACCAGATTAGAATTACTTCATTGTTTATTTCCTCTTTGTATCCAGATTCTGGATATAAAAAGATTGCTGTAAACTGAGGGTAAAGTATATTAGTAAGTATTAATAACAAGACAGAACACCAAGAATGTATAAGTATAAAGAGGTAAAGCAGGAGGTGAACAGTTCTCGAATAGCTGAACCGCAGATCCCAGCTTCCCTGTACTTTCATTGGAAATTGCCAGGGAGCAAATCACAGTGATATTTCTATGCAAATGAAGCTAAGTTCTTTCTATTAAAAACCTTATGCTTGGCTCAGGAGGGAAGGGTTAGCAAATACAATACAAGAATCATGTAAACGCTGAAGGTTTGTCTTAGTGCCTACCCCTGTAAATGTTTAAGTTTTGCCTTAGTGCTTCAGGGTGAATTCCAGCTTGTATCCATACCTCCCTCATATCCTGATATAACATTTGGTTTATTATAAATATTTAGTATGAAGTTGGGCTTTCCACAAAAGATAAAGACTATTTATTACTCAAATGGATCTACCTCAAGTAAAAATCAAAGTCCTTATTAAAATAACTTTATAGATTGGGTTTTTAGAAATTAATATATAGTAACATTAACACTAGCAGCATTTGAAAGTATGAAAACTTGGAAACTAATTTTTCAAAGTGTGATCTTTAAAAATAGGCAATGTCCACCACAACAAGAAAAAGGTAAACAACCCAACTGCAAAATGGGCACAGGATATGAACAGACACTTCACCAAATAAGACATTTAGATGGCCAACAAACACATGAAGAAATGTT